AAGGTTACTTGTAGGATTGACTTCGGAGTATAGTTTTAAGGAAGCTATTTCTACAACATAGTAGTATTTTGACAAATATTGTAGACATCCGAATACTATGCTAGTACAGCTGATACTGAGGGAAAAACGACGCATTTCACAAAAAGTATAAACATCTCATAAAAGAATATTTTTGTGATATTTGTGGTAATAAAATGTACTTTAGAAACACAAACATAGCTTAAATTTGAAGGACAATTCAGCACTCTTTAATCCTTCAGACATGCTTCTGAGCGTCTCCCGACCCATCTGTCAATCCCCACTTTCACCTTTTGACTTTTTCGTTAAAAGCATCACGCATTACTTTTCATTTCACATTTCAGATAATCCTATCATAAGCATTCCTTCTCTTTGCTATACCATCCAAGACACTTAACGCAATCAACAAGCATTTCCTTGCAGAATTATGTTCTCGGTTCGAGGAAATGGAGCTCTTGGATCGTGATTCCCGGCGACTTTCCGTATTCGAGGAAGTCGCCTAGATACGATACAACAAGGGTTCTTCCGACTTTCATCCCCATATCGCCCGCTTCCTCTGATAGCTAATGTGTTGTCGATGTCTCCGGTGGAAGCCACCCGCCTAGAACCACCTAATGGACAATGGTATCCTGGAAATGGCTGATTAAATTTAATTAGCACACTACCTCTCATGAAGAGGTCGAGGTCAATGAAAGTTCAGAGTGCAGGAAGATGTCAATTGATTCCCATAGAAGTTTAGATAACACAAATTATTGAGCGAAGGTCTTAGTTCTAGAGAAAGAGTGAGGGGTGCATGGTACAATTCCTTTAAATTTTGGCAATCAGGGATAGTATATTGATCGTAGGAAACATTCACAGGTACAGTAGTAGATTCAAAATTCTAAAATGTCTGGGTTAGTTGTGTTTAATAATTTTTGAAGTTGTACTACCACTTTAATATTTACATGAAGCCGTAAGATTGTTTACTTTATTTGCGTTGTCAGAAGTCAAATGGAACACATAATTTCAGGTTGACCATCACTATTCTGTTAGGTTGTCAATGTGAGCTTGAGGAGCTTGAGTCGTCAAATGTAATCAGACCACACATTATGTTTCCTTGACAATTTGTGAGATTTGCAGTAAGAGTGATTTGCTTATTATAAGAAACCTCTACAAAGCTCTTAGAGTTCCTCTTTTACATTTAATGATAATTAATATATACGCTATTGGCACTTGAAACACGAAACTAGACCTAAACAAGAGGAAAGACAGCAATTTTCACCATTCATAATTTGTTTATTTTGTCAAATGTCAGTGACTTTACAGTACTACCTAATTCGTTTCATCCATCGCAATGAACGAGATCGAAACTCATCGACACGATTACAAGCTAAAACTCAAACAGTCGGCAATTAAATCAACTTTCACCGCTTGTAGGGTTTAATAGCTCTTCAGGCTTCACACCTCTTGCTTCAATCAGGCCCAGATTGAAACTGAAAGCCCCCCTCTAGCTACCTGCCCTTCCCCTAATAGTCTATATATATGGTAATCGAGGCCCAGGGCTCTATGTAAATATGGATATCTCCGCAGCGGCCGTGTAATTATATAATATAAATAACAGCCATTTATTAGCGGGATGTTTGGAAGCACAATTATATCGTTAACAGCCGGACTGACGGACGCCTTCCTGAACTTGGAGAAAATTAACTGGGAAATCTGTAGAGGGAATTGTGAAATGTTTAATCAACAGATGAAGAGAAAGAGTGTGCTTTTAAAAAATGTTCAGAGACATCAAAGAGTTTGATTTCACTGAAAAAATTTGTGTTAAGTACCAAAGGTGAAAAATTAAAATTTGCGTGTTCGTGGTCCGTGGTCGTATCTGAAATTTAAGATATGCTGTCGATTAATTGAAAATATTAAACAAAAACATTACACTTCTAATGAAAAAGATGCGTTTAATTAAATTGGAGACAAACATACGAAGAGTCATCCTGTTAACGCGTAAAAACTGACCTTGTTTGGCAAGAGGGAGGAAGAAATCGCTGTTGAAACCGGCTGAATTTTATTGTACTAGTGGGAATAAACCGTCAACATACGTAGAATCGTCAGTGGTTTCGTAAACTAAAATCTTGACGGTGTGAATCGTTTTGCGTATTAAATGAGTACTACCCAACTACTGGGAAGTTACGTAAAATTGAATTGTACGAAGGACAGAACTGCCAAATGTAGTTACCTTAATTTAGCTGAAACTTTGCTGGTAGTGAAGGCAGAAGCACTACTACACCCTAATCTAATTTGGTCAAGTTGGCCATGGTTGCCAAACGTACGTGGAATCGTCAGTAGTGGCGTAAACCGCAACCTTGAACGTATCAATGGCGGTGCGGGCGGAAGCAGTACTACACCCCTTAATCTAATTTGGTCAAGTTGGCTCAGTCGCCAAACGTACGTGGAATCGTCAGTAGTGGCGTAACCGCAACCTTGAACGTGTCAATGGTGGTTTAAAAATGGTGTTATACCGTAAACAAATAAATAAATAAATGGCGGTGCGGGCGGAAGCAGTACTACACCCCTTAATCTAATTTGGTCAAGTTGACCATAGTCGCCAAACGTACGTGGAATCGTCAGTAGTGGCGTAAACCGCAACCTTGAACGTGTCAATGGCGGCGCGGGCGGAAGCAGTATTACATCCACTTATCTGATAACTCCAGAATCTTGATACAAAGACGGATCTCTCTAATGCAATTTGAATAGCGCGCTCACATTTTGCATAATTTTAATGAAATTAAATTACACACTTGTTGGGCTGTTTGAATTTCAAAACCCCTCGGTTGTCCGTCACACGGCTCGTGGTTGGCGCTTGACAGCTTTAATTTGGCCCTAAATTACACCGCTGCTTAATTTGTCTCATAAAAGAATACGGTTTAAACTTTGTAATTCGCGACGCGTCGTTAATTTACCCCCATCTGACTGCTTGAGGTAGTGTGAGTTTTATGGAGAACAAAGAGATCCAGTTTTGGTTATATAAGTGAGGGGGATTTTTCTTGAATTTAGGGATTCTTGATAAGGAATAGAAAAGACTCCTATTTTCACAACATTATATGTAAACCCTATACCTAACAATTACTGTTAAAAGCAACTTTTATATCATGCACAGTAAAATAGTAAATAGTAAACAGTACGTGCTAAAACTAAAATCCAATGTATTTTTGCAGGAATTTTGAAATTTTAAAAGTTCTTAACCTGTGGATGTTATTACAAATTCTTATTTCAGACACCTGAATTAATATACATTCTTGACATCTAATCATGCTATTCTGAATTGCCCAAAAATACAGAGGTGATACATGTAATACACTTCAGCGTGTATTTAATACTGCGCAATCATCGTTAACAATCTTTGGGCGTGATAACTTACTTGTACATTCTTCATTCTTAAGAATATATTCCCGTTGTATTTCTGTTAAAATAAACAGATTGAGGTGATAGATTAATGTACTTTCATGTATTGTCCGAGAATACACAGAAGATATGCTTCTCTACATAGGCCATACACTACAGCGTGTATTGAGCGCCTTGCAAGTTAATTATTCATACAGCACAGTGGCGTTAGCTATTGGAACGCCTATTTGGCACAAAACCACCCAACTTTACAGCCCAATACGCCTACACCGCTACTACCGCCATTCAAACATATTTATGGCTTACTTTGTTGGCTACATGATTCTTTTGTTCGCCTGTACTCGAACGAAATATTTATGAGATAATTAAATAACCCGCGGGAAATGAATAAGTTCGAGCTAGATGCCGGAGAGGTTTTGTCATTTCCATTCGGTGAACATGACCTGGCGCCAGACTGGGTGAAGTTAGGATAATTTAGGATTTATATTTCATCTGCATTTCTCTAGCAACGACGTTTGTGGAACGTAAATATGGGTATTTATCATGGGCTTTTGTGTTTGGAATTAGAAGGAAGTATATAGTTTCTATCTCTGTACATTTTTCTTTATCTCTCAGAGAAAATTTGGTAAATATTTCCACTTTTGAACCACTATCAACAAATTGTATGAATTAAGTTTTAATACATTTTGCTACCTTGACAAGTGACGATGTGTGCTAGGCTAGGCTTCAGTCAAGCTGGGTCCAACTTTTACAGCATTAAATTATCAAAATGTCATTACAAATATTTGTAGGACAGCCATAAACACCATTTTCCTGTGTTTACTAATGTACTGCGTGGTAATTTTACGAATCTTTAGACCGATTGTCTCAATTCTCCTAGTAGAAAATCGTTAGATCCTAAAAAACCATAAGCTTGCAAAAATAAATCCAGCTCTCCTAAGTCATCGTGTTTTCCGTAAACGATCCTGGGTATAGACCAGACTGATCTCAGTCAGTAACAAAGCTTACAATCCATTCATTAAACGATGATCTTTTAATGATAAGAAATGTCCTTTGGACTGGTGTTACGGTGTTGTATAAAGGTAGTCTAAAATACACAAAAGGGCCATCGGATTGAGGATTACCTTAATTATTTAATGTGCTACGTTAGGACCTTAGGATATCCTTACGTTAGGATATCTTGACTTTTTTATTGAGTGACGTACGAAGGCCTACTTTATATTCTCTGGTTTCAAAGCTATACTCCCTGATATACAAAATATGGGATGCATCCGTATAAAAAGCTAGTTCCAACCTCAACCACACGACGCCATTTTTGAGCTCTAAATCCACCCTTTTCAATAAATGTTAACATCTTCTGACAGACTGTCAATGTCTGACATAATACGTCCTTCGAGTATATACACTCCCACAAGTTCCAACCCAAATCCAATTTCCATCCAAATCTAGATGCGTTATCCTTCACGTTTTCCTCATAGGTTCCAAGCTTGAATGCTGAAGAAGCTACCCTTTCATGCAGAGATTTTACAATTCATACTTTCCGTTCAATATGATATATGAATGGCCATTTTTTGGATCAGTCTGGTTCTCTATTTCCACTTTACCTGGTGAATACGTCAGGATAGTGTGTCCTGGAGAACGCCTTCTCCAGTTCCTCCAGCTGGAAGGAGGTAAAGGTAGTCCTGTAGCGTCTCTGCTTCCTCTTCGGCGCAGAGTTGAAGTCGTCGAGCTCTCCCTCGCTTCCATCGTCGTCTCTCCCTGACACCCCCATGGTCGTCTCTCCCTCTCCCTCGCCCTCCACGCTAGCCGTCTCCGGGGAACTCCTTGGAGGCGTGTTTGACAGTTCTGGAACAAAACGGACCGTAAGAGAACCAGCAAATATATACAGAATATCATACACCAACGCAAGAATATATGATCATCTTTGGATATAGCAGAACAAGTAGATTGTAAAACCAAAAACAAGAAAATTTGTAACATAGTAGAGTCCTCGGGTGTTTAGAAAGTATAACTGAATGGATATGACTGACGTATAAACGTAATATTCGTGGATGAACGTTCATGTCTGCACTGCAGTAAAACAATCATCTGTCCAATCTAATTGAAGGGTAACTGATAGGTAATCAGTAGTATCATACTAATATGTAATTGGCAGGGTGATAGTAGTAATCAGAGAAAAGATCCGACTTGGTCTGATCCTGAGAGAAGTCATATAATTTTTAATAGTTCGAAACTGGGACCCAGCTATCCTTTTGCATTGGGGTTTTGGTAAATAATCCGACTGATCATTTAGTCAAGAACAAAACGATTATAAAATTAATTTACTTGATGAATAAATGCATCCATAAACAAAACAAATTCTCCGTAATCTTAAAACACGCGTTCCGGTACGTCGGCGTCGTATCAAATCAAACGCACAACTTAAAAACGCGACTCTGATAGTGACATCTCCATCGTATATACACTCAAGTAAACACGATGCTTTGTCCGAGTACCGAAGGAGTTTCCAGGAATATAGAACACTCTTGGAGGAATGTAGAGATAGTAGAGCTGGAGCCAGAATAGTCTAATGACTCACTGGAATCAATTACAGCCAATGATTGAGCGCCACGCACTACCCAGACTCACCTTCAGTCTGGCGAGTCAGTGTTCAGGAAATGTTTGGTGGTTAATACCATTCCTGTGTATTCTATTTCCCGAAACTAACCGATCAGAGGATTACGACTTCAGGGGTTTCCACTTTTTGGAGTGAGCAATCAGTAATCGACCTTGCGATTCCGGAACTTTGGCTTAAGGGCAATGTCCTCGCGATGCTACCTAAGAAATCAGAGATCACCGCATTTGGATAATATCTTTCCACCTTAACATACACGTTTTATTCAATATATAGTGAGAGGGATGTACATTCATCTGATGAAATTGAAAATACTGTAGACCTCTTGGGTAATAAGCATTAAGGATATGTTGTAACTTTGACACACAACACACAATTCAAAACACAGTTGTCATTTGTAATTTGGTTTAATTTCACCGCTTACTATCAATGACTGTAAAATGTATCGAGCCCAGGGTTTGAGCATTGATTGAGTCAAAGCTTAGAAAATTTAACGTTTTTCGTATCCAAACCTTGTTATGTAAAGAAAAAGAAAATCCCAGCTCTGTCGCTGACCGAAATTTCCTAGTTTCTACCTGAAACCCCAATCATCTCTCCTTAGACCGATCAATTCTTCACTATCAGAACCCCTAACTTTCTCCAATGCCACAACCCTTTGCCGCGGAAGTTGTTCCTCCTCTTCCTCACCGGACGCGTCGCGATGTACTGTCTATAATTCCATTAGCGGCGAGTATTGGCCCGTGAAATGAGCTTGCACGTGTGTTTTGTATAATTGTCCGGAAGAGACAACTTCCTGGCCGTTAGTCCAGGTGTCAATCGCATAATTAATCCTCGCCCTTCCTACATTGTTTTCCACTTAATCAATCCTTTCGCTCCGTGTAGCCGATGTCGTGCCCCAACTCTTAACCAGATCTGATAAAGAAGCTGTCCGATGTAAGCTCATTGCGTTCGGATTATATTTTGGGGGAAATGATCTGATATGTGTGTCAGTGGTAAAAGTTGAAGGAGGTAAGGTTAGGCAACTGCAAAACCAACGATCAGCCCATGATAAATCAATACGGATTTCATACTCGATTTGAATAGACAACGATCAGCCCATTCTCGTCATCAAATCGTAACTCCATACATTCCAATCGGCAACACAATTCCAATCGCATACATCACGCAATTAACAAGGTGAAAGCAACCACGACTTACGATCTGGAACTTTCACGAGTGAATTCGTCAAAACACACGGTCGGATCATAAATAACCGTTGATTCGTCAGCACGGCGGTCAATATCGGTAGTTATATGGAGTACAAAGAAATGCTTTTAGAGGTGCTGATAGAGGCTAATGGCTAGAGGCTGCGCGGCGCCTGTCATATCGCGCATGCGTCATATACAGTGGCGCCGCGCACGCGCACGCGTCGTAGCCGTAGCGTACTTCGCAGACACACTGCAGAGTGCAGACGCGGTCTGTATTTGCTTGTTAGTTGACTGTTAGTCAAGATCTGCAGTGAAAAAAGTGAAAAAAGCGTAAAAATGTATATATTTTGCTGTACTTTTCCAGGGGCAAGCGTATTCATTGGCCAAGCCATCAAATAGCAAGGACATGAAATGACCTAAGGCATCGTATTGGGTAGTACAGTTGCTGGTTGAGGTATTAACTGAGGACCCTAAAAATCCACAGATGCAACACGCTTAAGATTATCAGTGAGTTAACTGTCACATAAATATGGTTTATTCTTTATTTTTTACACCTTCTTCAAATATTCTTGTGGAATTTAGGCTACTGAAAAACTAACCATCAAGGATACACCGACTATGAACTAAACAAGCAAAAACAGGAAGGTCTGGTAATATTCAAAGCTACGCATTCATCATCAGTTTATGAACAAGAATAACCTGAAATATAGAATAAAGAAGGACTTATCTTGCAGTAATATATGAATCAAGCCATTTTATGTTCAAATCTCTCAAAGAACCTCAGAAGACGACTATTTAATTTCTCATTTCTGTTACCGTACTACACGTCGTGCTGTGGCAGGCAAAACGCACATGTTATAACAAGGCGATTGTTCAACCAATTAATGTCAGGTGCCCAGTTAGGGGGGTCGAGTCAAATTCGTCTCGCCGTCTTCCATCAACACAGCGTCGTTAGCAGGCAAGGCCGCTTCGTTTAGGCTAATTAATCATGGATTATCACTTATATTTTGTTCTATTACAAGGCAGTTGGGGCTCTTCATTAGTAATTCGATTATTTTCTGTCACATTAATTTTGAAAGTGACAAATAATTGGTGTCAAAACAGAAATTAATAAATTGGTAGACGGGGTAGGTGGAAACTGGTATTTGAAGGTTTGGAATCTGCAGAGTTCTGTTTGTCCGAGTGGACTTCACATGGATGTAAGGTTGTCTACTCAATCTTATTCTTTCTTAGTGATGTCCTTATTCGTAACTTGATACCTGTAGCTTGGAAGAAAGAAAGTACCGTAGATTTATCTTCGATTTAAAAACGTGTATTCAACAGAAATTCTAGCACCAAGTCTGAAAACTCTATTTTGGAAACATGGAGTATAAGAAATGTACTTGCACCTTTGGACTTAGTTAATTACTATAGCAAGTTCCTATGGATGATCCTCCATCCACTTTTATTTAGTTTAAACTTGGCGTCAGCATTGACAAATCGTACTAGGCACAATGTGTAGTTTTTAATTTCAACTGCATACGTGCTATTAAATAAATATAGTGTATGCCCTAATACTTAGTAAAATACTATAAACCACAAAGTTGCTTTGAGAATCATCCAAGGGATTGTATTTTTATATGATAATCACAAAAACAGTTAACAGAAAGCGTTCAAAGTTTCCGTATCCATTACTATTGACACTTTCATATGTAAAAAACAAGACTGACTAAGTAACACAGTTTTTTATCATTCCCTATAGAACAATTTCCCGCGATCACACACACAACACGCTCGGTAGCAACGGCGAATTTAATGACACGTAAAATTGCCAACAGTAGCAGCACTAACTCCGCTAATTGCAATACTTAGTGTTGCAACATATCACTGTAGCAATTGCTCCGTTGCGCTCATACTTAATTCGACATTCTTGCTCATGCATTAGGCAAGCCTAATGGATTAGTGTTATGCGATAGCGAAACGGATATGCCCCTTTTAAAACGATCTCTTGTATGTTTTGAAACTATGTTGATGTGATATTGTTTGAGACAAACCGTAGTTGTTTGAAACTAGTTTTTGATGGTAATTGTCACAATAGGTATTTTATGTTGGTTCTGGAGAAATGCTCATTGCAGCTTTTAATGTCATGGAAAACACAAAGATCACCATGCCTGATCAGAGACGATTCAATACAACATGTCTTATAAGATACATTCTTTTCTAAAAAATTACTCACATCCAAATCCTTTTTCATTGGAAACATTTTTACTAACCCACAAACGTTGTTATTTTCGGCCCGAACCTTTCCTCAAAACAAAGGCAACAAAGCACAGAAGTAAGCTAGAGTTTATTCAATACTGACAACTTCATAATGGATATCTTTTAAGTCTCTGAAAAATTAAGAGAACAATTAAGGCTCTTTTTCTTTTTAACTCGAACTCTTTTCATGCTAACACTCTCTAGCAATCATCTAGCACACAAGTTTCGCTGTTATCGTAACCTGTATGATTTGTATGATCATTTATTGTCCAACATATTATTGACTATCATCAACGGGACTTTTTCGAATACCCTACCACCTATGGGCCACAAAGCTCAGCATACAGATAGAGTTAGGTTTAGAAAGAAGCTGTCTCTTCTACAGCCCAGGTTTGGTCCAGGGTCGAGACACAGATCCTCATGACCTTGACATGGAAGGAGTGTGTGACGCGTCACTACTCAATCATTATCTTTATACTGTAGTCTCTAAGCATCCTGCAGCTATAGATAGGCATATACTTAAACTATTTTATTTATTGTTTATAATCTAAGGTTCGTTTTTACGAATCTTGGAAACATGAAATATAAATGCAATGACAATAATCACGAAATCATCACCACGATAGTCTTTTAGAGTTGGAACTTGGCGTTTGAAAATTTTCAATTTGCCTGAGGTGCCTATTAAGATACTGTGGAGTAAAATTACGACAAGGCTTGAACTTCGCTTAAAACCATACGAAAAGCTTTAGAATTCGTTTGGGAATGGGGACGACTATCTTCATGGCCCATACCGATGTAAGTAAAAT